CATAGATAGGCATCATCTTTCTTAATATCTCTAAAAATTTGGTAAATAAATCTTTATAATATTATTATTATTTTATTTTAAAAATTAAGTTACCGTTATTAAAAATTTTTGATTTTGAGAAATGTATATTAGTTTTAGGAAAATAGTTAAATTTCAAAAAGGATTTTCGATTCGAAAACACGGTGGGCAGGAAGCGACTATAGGTTGCACAAAAATGTCGACAAAAACTGCAAGTGGGGCTGTATTTGTTGATGATTACAGGTAAAAAATCCGTTTATAGAATGAAATCCTAGCTGCTTCTTTTTTAGAGTTATCCAAATTTTAAACTTTTTTTTATTAGATCAATTTTTACGAAATAGAGAAGGTGCACTCGAATGTATGGACTGAGATATAAATTTATGTAAGTGCTTAGCCGATTTTATACGTTTCCAGAGTGCATCACGTGGAGATAACTTACTCTGCACTCCTTTTATCTCTTTTTTTAATTTTTTTTTATTTTTTATTTTTATTTTTATTTTTTAAAACATTTTTTTAAATTTTTTAAATTTTTTATAAACTATTATTTTTGTACTTTTGGTAATACTTTATGCTATAATTATACATCTTTTGTGTATAACATCTTAAGAAATATAAAGTTTTCAAATATGCTGGGATGAAAAAGTCACAACAGCTTTCTTTAATCGGATCATAAAAGTAGGTTCTTCTATCATTCCTATTTTAAATCTACCCCAAAATGTATTGAATTCTCTATGAACCGACTCTCCAGCCTGCTCAGACCATAATCCTAAACCATCGTTATTTAAGAAAGCAAAGGCTTGCTTCAAATGATCAAGAATGATATGGATTTTGAGGGTTTTAGAAATTCCAGTGCTCTTTAAAGCTTCACAGAGTTCACGAAGATTTTTGTCAAAATCTCTAAGATCCGCTTGTTTTGCAGAAAAACAAGTATTAACAATTTTGTCCATTGCTTTGAATGAGGTAATAAATGGTTGTAATCGAAATGGCCCGACGTCCTTGTAAATTTCAGGATCCTGTAATCTATCGGCTTCTTTAAGAAGTTTCCGACATTGATTGCCTTCAAAAATATTTCCATGGTAGCTTTTATGAGATATACCTAATTTCTTAGGCCACAACAAAGCTTTTTCCACGCCGATACCATCGATTTTAACTATACCATCCCAAAAGATATGATTGACAAACCCTTGTAGCAGGTGTAGTTCAGGAGGAACACACTTCTGAATCACATATGTGTCATCATTTTTAATAAAAAGAGGATCATGAATTGTGCTATGACATTCTTTACCTTTGCTTTTGTGGCTACCCATACGTTTAAATTGTAAATAGTCATCTTTCCAGTGTTTATATGTCTTTAAGTCAACATTCTGTTCATCACTATTCGAATCATTATCTTCAATCGTTTTACCAAAACTCTTTAATTCATTTAATGTAATAAAACAATAAGGACAAGGGTAAGTTGCCCTCGCCGTTTGCATTCCGTTAGCAAGAAGAACAAGTTTTAAGTCTGAAATAAATTTAAAAGGTATTTCATTTAGTTTCGTTAATTCAACTAAAGTTTTCAAATTTTCATAGGTCTCCTTAATATCCGGAACACTGCATAGTAAAATCAATTTGTAGACGCTAGTCATTTTGCGTTCGTTTGCAACACTTCCACCAGTGGAATAATATGAAACGTTTTTACTTCTGTAATAACCTGAATCATCTCCTTCTCTTTCGTCTTCTTGGGTTGAAATTGAGATAGAAATTTTAAAAAAGCCTTGGTCTCTATCTGCCATTAATTTTATTCTTGTTTCTTCTATGTGCTCAATGTTCCGTTTTTCAAAGACAAAATCAAGAAGTTCTGTTGCATTGGCATACACGACAGGTCTTTTTTAATTCCTTCCTTGGTTGTTTCAAATTCATAAAGATCTTCTTTATAAATGTTTTCCATCAAATTGGATTTTTCATACATATGTTGATTATGATTTGAAGGAACTGATTTTCTTCCAGCAGAAGTGCGAATAAAGTTAACCAATTTTTTCATATCATTTGTAGAACATCCAGTATTAGTTTGGAATTTATCTAAACTTTGAGCAGAAAAGATGACTTCTTTCTCTTCTTTCTTATTTTTAGTTATGCGAGCCTTTGAACCCCCCGTATTTAAAATAATCTCATTTTTTGCATCTTTACTACTGTCAAGTTTTCTTTTTAAAAGAGTAGTTACTATTTGATTCTGTTGTTTTTCAGGCAATTGTTCCACTATATTGAACACATTATCACGTGCATTAGAAGAAGAAGGACCTTTACAAGAATGTGGAATGCCTTTACCAATTTCTTGGAAACAACTGCTACAGATTTGAATAGAAGATCCGGTTTCGATTGCATTTTCGTCACTTTTAGAAACTGACGCCATTTGCACAGCACCGTGAAGACCATTATCTAGATCAATTTTAGTGGTAAACTTTCGAACATGACCTCTACCCTTATTTGTTTTTGAATGGCTAGTAAGTCGCGCTGTTAAGCAAATGTAACAATTACAAATCGACGTTCTTGTTTCTTTCGCCAAATTAAGATCCTCGTAATTGGGAATAGTTGGACAAGGTCTTTTGAAATTTTTCTTTCCATATTCATTAATAGTTAGTCGACAAGAGCTACACAAACTTTTTGGGAATTTACTATTAGAAATGTCAAACTGTTCCTGAATATGTTCTTTTATTACCTTAATATGATTTTCAGATAATAAAAAATGATGGGAAGGTTTATTTTTAAACAAAATTTTTTTACCACATGTAGCGCATACCTTCAATCGATTCTCTTCATGATCGCATTTAAATTTTAAATGTGGCATCGACATTATTTTTAACGGATATTATATATCCCTCATTTACAATAAATAATGTCGTTTATATATAACAATATTCATACAACAATTATTACTTTCTCTTATGGAGAACATACAATAACCATCGCGTCACCTCACTGAAAATTGTTTTGGAATGAATTAAGCTGCAACGCTCTTTTTATACCAATTCGGATTTAAATAACCTAAAATTGGCTTCAAAGAAAACTGTTGCAAATGTTATCAGTGCTAGTGACTTTTATCATTAGATATTTTTTTTTTTTTTATTTTTTTATTGTTTATACTCCTGCCCTATTGGCCTTACGCACTTCGACAAGAGTCCCGCCGAGAAATACTTTTTTGGATTAAGCATAACCATTCTACTTTAGAAATTTTTCTATATATTAACCTAATTTGCGTCTACAGCCGACTTTATTAGGAGTACTCGCATTACGCCTGGACCACCCGTCAATGGGTTTTCTCGCCAGAGAAGAGGGAAACTGTAGAAAAACCTCTCTGAGTACAACCGGTTTATCGACAGTCGAGTTCTAATGGTGTGTACCGGACAATAATCGACGGTGCACATCATTATACCTCGACGTCAAACCTCCCGCTCAGATTGTCTCACGTGCCGGAAAAATACCAAGCCAAGTGGGCGCGAACCAAGGGTACTTATACCCTTGGTCCTTAAACGACCACCAACGCCAGGCATCTATCCGGCTGAGCCAATCTGTCGGTCTATCATTAGATATTTATGATTTTGTATTTGCGAATTTGCAAAATTACAAACGATGTATTATTTGGCTGTAAAAGATCTTATGTGTATATACCTTTACGTACACACATACCCACATACGCAGGCACACACTCGCACGCGTTTTTCTCTATTTCGCGAAAATTGATCTTATTAAAAAATGTAAAATGTGGATAATTTTGAAATAGAAGCAGCTAGGATTTCATTCTGAATGGATTTTTCATCTGTAATCATCAACAAATACAACTCTACTTGCAGTTTTTGTCGACATTTTTTGCAACCTATCGTCGCTTTCTGCCCACCGTGAAAATATATATTATCAGTATAATAACCTTGATATAACTTTGTTTTTGATAGTTGGCAGTTAAATATCAAAACGACTTTTTTTGATTTGAAAATAAATAGTACCCCAGTAGCACGTAATATTACAGCGATATTGGGAACATTGCCTTAACATTACCAATATTGCCTCAATGTTGTGGCATATTGCTGGAATGTTCCCAATATTACGTGCTACTTGGGTATATAACTGTTTGGAATACCAACAATTTATATTTCAAAATAATTAAAATTTGTACTGCGAGAGGGCTTGCCCAAAAATATACGAGGGGTTTTGCGACGGAAGGGAGGGCAGAGTTTCGCATGAGAATGCGTGGTAAGAGTAGCGTCTCGTTTTTATGTTGATCTTACCTTTTGTGAAATGTTTAATTGTAATAAATCCTTTTATTCGTAAAGTTTATGTTTTAATTCTCTCTCTCCTTAACGTGTAAATAAACATCTGGCGACCGTGACAGGACGTTCGGGAGAGATTGATTACGGAAAGAAACGTGAGGTAGTGTGTGTATAACCTCAAAATGGACGTCGCGAAAAAGGCTCGGACAGTGCAACGCGCTCTTTTCATCAAGTGTCTAAATATTTTTCAGAATAAGTGCAAGGATGCTAATATTTCGTTGGCCGATCGTCACGTTGCGTTACAATTACTTGAGTTGCGATTTTCAGAACTCGATTCGTCGAGTAACAGATACGTTGAAATGATTCTTGAAACCGAGGCGACTGTAGAAGAAATTACGGCCGCAGTAATTCATGAGGGCAAAGCCATCGCAAATGAGGATAAATTAGAATACTTAAAGCAATCTATGGAAAGTGGTTCTAAAGCGGAAAGCATCGTGGGCGGCTACCCGACTTTCGGCACATATTCGGGCATTGGAGACTCTAGGCGTTACGACGAACAATTGTGCAACCATGCTTTACCCCCTGGTAGAATCCTCACTACCTGAGGAAATTTTAAGAACCTGGCAGCGGAGTGAAACAAATAGTGAAAATCCAGTCGATGGAGAGGAGAGGACGGATCGACTTTCAAGGCTTCTCCAGTTTTTGAGAATCGAAGTGGAAAGTGAGGAAAGAATAAACATGGCCATGCACGGCTTTTCCATTAACGTCGACGCAGGGAAAAAGAAGCCAACGAAGGAGGAGTCGAGAAGCAGGACGTCAGCACCAGAAGTGTCAACAGGCAGCGTTCTACTGGCGAACGAGGAAAAACGTAGGAAATGTATTTTTTGTAATAATAATCACGATAATGCGGCTTGCGAAAAAGCCAAAACGTTTTCGTGTGAGGTAATTAAAAGTATGATTCGCGATAACAATTGCTGTTTTAAATGCTTAAAGGTTGGTCATACAGCGCGAAAATGTAGAGTACGAATAAATTGTTCAAAATGCGGTAAGCATCATTCAGTTCTCGTTTGTCAAGGGGATTCTTATAGCGCGGATGTATCGAAATCAAGTAAAAGGGGGGAGACGGTAAATATAACTAAAGAACAGAACCTTGCTAGTTTTTCTCACTCGCCCGATGTATATATGCAAACAATGCGCGTTATTTTGTATTCCGACTTTAAAGAAAAAGAAGCTCGAGTGATCATTGACAGTGGCTCGCATAGATCGTACATTCGCACAGACGTGGCTGAGTTTTTAGGTTATAATCCCATCTCGAGTAAAGAAGTGACGCATTCTCTGTTTGGCGGGTTTAACACGGATAGTCAGAAACATAACGTTTTTTTGATTCGAATGAAAAGTCACGATAATCAGTACGCATGTAATTTCGAGGTTATGGATCAAAAAATTATTTGTGATAATATTCCTTCTGTAAAGAAAAATAATTTTTTAGAGGAATTAGAGAAAAATAATATTTTACTTTCTGATTTAGCCCGGGAACACGGAAATTTTGACAATTCTATCGATGTATTAATAGGTGCAGATGTTGCCGGTAAACTCATGACAGGGAACAAATTTGAATTAAGCAATGGTCTTGTTGCGTTTGAGACTAAATTAGGATGGGCTCTCATGGGGAAAAATCCTGCGACTGAACGAACAGATGCAGCCATTGTTGCCATGGCAATGTTTGTAAAAGATGCAAAGATTTCCGATCTGTGGAGTCTCGATGTTTTGGGTATTAAGGATCCAACTGAAAAAGCAAATCAATCAATAAAAGAACAAAGTGTTGAAGATAACGTTTTGAAATCAGTTGTTTACAGTGATAAAAGATACTCGGTTGATTTACCGTGGGTGGATGACCACGCTCCTATTTCTCAGAATTTTGAGTTGTTTGAAAAGAGATTAAAGAATACGGTAGAAAAGTTAAAGCGAGATGAAGGTATTATTGAACCAGTAATGGAAAAGTCGAGCCCCGCATGTCACTACTTGCCTCATCGTCCAGTTGTCAAGGAGGAAAGCACGACAAATATACGGCCAGTATTTGATGCTTCGGCATACTTGTCGGGTTTTCCTTCCTTGAATCAATGTTTGGAAAAAGGACCAAACTTAATAGAGTTGATACCCGCTTCGTTGCTGAAATTTCGGGAACACGAAATTGCTGTTTTGGCTGACATTCGTAAGGCATTCTTGCAGATTGGGGTGAATGATAAGGATCGCGATTATTTAAGGTTTCTTTGGGTGATTGACGAAAAGCTACAAATTTTTCGACATAAACGTGTAGTGTTCGGTCTAAAGTATAGTCCTTTTTTATTGGGTGCTGTTTTAAAATTACATTTTTCAAATTTATTACAAGCAGCGAAAGACAGTAAAGGATTATGGTCTCGCGAAATCATCGAAAAATTATCGAAATCCTTTTACGTCGATAATTGCACAACCAGTGTGGAGTCGGAGGAGGAATTGCAAAGTTTTATAACGTCAGCGAAAAAAATGATGGCGCTCGGAAGTTTTGATCTTAGAGAATGGGAACATACACGTGATGCTTCGGGTAAGGAATCGACGTTAGTACTCGGTCTTTTGTTTAATAAAATGCGTGATACGATTGCAGTCAATCCGGCTTTAATAAAAGATGATAGTAATACGGTAGTCACCAAACGCTCTATTTTGTCAGCCGCGCACAAAGTCTTTGATCCAATCGGTTTCACTTCGCCCGTAACTCTATTACCAAAACTAATGTTAAAAAATCTATGGAAGCAAAAAATTGATTAGGACCATCCTGTAGATAAAGATACACAGAAAGCCTTTTTAATTTGGAAAGAACAATTGCCGTATTTAGGAAAAATTGAGATAAAGCGAAAGTTTGTCTCAGGTGAATTTTCTATTCACACTTTTTGTGATGCCAGCAAATCGGCTTATGCGGCAGTAACTTTTTTACGCGTAAAAAATGAAGAGACCGTGAATTTAGTCTTTCTTGGTGCGAAAACACGAGTTGCTCCGGATGGCATGTCAATTCCGCGTTTAGAACTATTGGCTGGGTCTATAGGAGCTCGTCAAACCAAAGAGATCGTGGACGCTCTCGATTATTCTCACGTCCCCGTATATTTATGGACAGATTCGACAACCGTTTTGGCGTGGGTGAAGAGGGATATTCAGTGGGCCGTGTTTGTATTTGAATAGAGTGAAGGAAATCAGACTCATTACTTCATTGGCAACCTGGAAATACGTACCAGGTGAGTTAAATCCTGCTGATTGGCCATCATGCGGGTGTCAGGCAAAACAGTTGTTGAACTCGCGTTGGTGGGAGGGACCTGATTGGTTGCGCCGCGAGGAATCTAACTGGCCTTGTTTAAGAGAAAAAGTTAACGAGGATGAGGTTGGTGCAGAGATGCGGAGATCGGCTGAACTTACGATCCTAAATGTAAACGACGAAGTAAATTTCGACATAGTAGACAAGTTTTCGTCGTATAATCAAATGATTAGATTTTTTGCTATAATGTTAAAGTTTAAAAATTATAAAATTAGCGGCGAGTTGACAAACGGAAAAAAGTTGACATTTAAAGAGATCCAAAATACTGAAACACAATTTTTAAAAGTCTTACAAAACAAGATGTTTTTTCGAGAAAATAAAGAAAAATTGTCTACTTTATCAACTTTCGTTCATTCTGATGGTTTAATTCGTCTAAAAACCAGGATTTTAGAGCGTGACGATAGTTTTGGTTTCTTGTGTCCAATCGTACTGGATTCAAGCAATCAAGTGGTCAAGTTGCTCATACGAGAGACCCACGAGAACATGGGTCACGCGGGAGTGCAGACAGTCATGTGTCAAATTCGTGAAAAATTTTGGATTTTGTCATCGCGTAAAACTGTTCGCTCTGTTATAAAGAAATGCGTTGTTTGTAATAGATATAATTCGAAACCTTTAAGTGTAAATCCACCACCTTTACCTGTTCATCGTGTCAAGGATGCTGCTGTATTTGAAGTGATTGGGGTTGATTTTGCGGGCCCGGTGTACTTGCGTGGACAAACGAAAGCGTGGATTTGTCTGTATACATGTGCTATTTATCGAGCAGTTCATCTCGAATTGGTGACCTCTTTGTCCACGAATAATTTTTTAGAGAGTTTGCGTAGATTTATTGGACGTCGAGGTAGACCCTCTATAGTTTACAGCGACAACGGAACCAATTTTGTTGGCGCCGAAAATGCTTTTGAAGATTTAAATTGGGATGTCATCGCCAATTACAGTCAGGCTCGGCAAATAGATTGGCGATTTAACCCACCAACTGCCTCATGGTGGGGAGGTTGGTGCGAGCGATTAATTGGAATGATGAAAGTTATTCTTCGCAAAGTTTTAGGAAAAGCATCTCTTACATTTGAAGAGATGTATACCGTTCTATGTGACTGCGAATTCTGCCCTCCAAAAGAAAAAGATACATAAGCGACATTACCATCAATCCGAGAAAATCAAAGAAAACTTTTTGCCTCCGGAACTATAATTGAAATTAACTTTTTTAAAAAAATTTTTGATTAATATTTAATAAAAAAATATTCTGCTTCTTATTATGTAAGAAAAAATTAATTTTTTAAACAATTTCTATTGTAAACTGGACATACGGGTTTCTAGTAGTGATAAATACAGACGAATAAAAGCACAAAGTCGCTTATGTCTATTTCTCGGTAAACTTACTCGAGCTGAGCGGTGCCGTGCAGAGGAAAAAGATACATAAGCGACATAATGTAAAAGAACTAAGCCTGTGTAGTAAAATTATCGCTTTTCTTCTTCTGTAAACTCGACTCACTGTCAGACCATTTTACAGAGGAAAAAGATACATAAAGACAGTCGAAAAACAGTCGCTTCTTTTAGTCTGTAAAGTCAGCTTACTCTCAGGCTCCTTTACCGAGTAAGAAGATACATAAGCGACTTTGTGTATTATTTTGTCCTGTAAGTTGGTGACGTATGCAGCGTCGTTTACCAAAATATGAACCCACAAAGTGTTTTATGTATCTTTTAACTCTGTATTTCGTCACTTTTTCCATTTTTGTCATTTTTAAACAATCTTTTTTTACAATAAATAATTAAATTTTATAATTCTTTTTTACACAGTTAAATGCAGCTTTTTTTATGAATCCAATGATACCAAAAACTCAATTTTTTCAAAAATGTCGCTTATGTATCTTTTTCCTCTGGACGGCAGAATTGACGTTAAATTCGAGACCTTTAACCTATGTATCAGAGGAACCAGACGATCTAAAGCCTCTAACGCCTGCAAAGTTTTTGCATGATCTTCGACAAAGTGAGATGCCTGATCTAGATATAATTAATAAAGTCGATTTGAATGGTAGATTTAAGCGTAAGCAAGAAATTATGGAACATTTGCGAAATAGATTCCGTAAGGAATACTTAAGTCAATTAGTTTCCAAGTTTAATTTTAAAGAAAATCGAAAGATAAAAACCGGCGACATTGTACTCGTAGGAGATGATATTCACAAGCGAATTGATTGGCCTCTGGCTCGAATCGAAAGACTAATTGAAGGTAGAGATGGCACGGAACGCGTTGCCTATTTAAGGACAAAAAATGGCGTTATCAAACGTCCTGTGCAGCGTTTATATCCATTAGAGTTAAGCTACTCCTGCGAAAACGAAGCTACGATAATACGTAATAAAATGTCGGACGAACCTGGAAGTGAGCCTATTGTAATCGCGAAAGATTGTAAAGCTACGACATCGAAAGAAACAGAACTTAAAACTCGCTGTGGTAGAATTGTTAAAAAACCACGGTTTTTCAAAAATTGAAATGTAATAATTGAGTCATATACTCAAGGTGGGAGGATGTTTGGAATACCAACAATTTATATTTCAAAATAATTAAAATTTGTACCGCGAGAGGGCTTGCCCAAAAATATACGAGGGGTTTTGCGACGGAAGGGAGGGCAGAGTTTCGCATGAGAATGCGTGGTAAGAGTAGCGTCTCGTTTTTATGTTGATCTTACCTTTTGTGAAATGTTTAATTGTAATAAATCCTTTTATTCGTAAAGTTTATGTTTTAATTCTCTCTCTCCTTAACGTGTAAATAAACATAACTTTGATATAACCTTGTTTGATTACTATTTGATTTGATTTGAAAATAACAAACTTTTCTGTCTAAGAATTTTTATATTGTACACGGAGAGAAAAATCAAGCGTTTGTAGTATGGAGACTTCCTATGCTAATTTTGTATGAACGTCCTGCTAAAGAGGCATGTTTTTATACCTCAGTTGCATGAAACATATACTAAAAAAGCATGGATCTCTTGCAATCGTAGTATACTGACGTCCCATGCGTTACAGGTAGAACTTTTATGCTGATAACGTAGAAATTTATACAAATACAGCAGAAGTTTTACGCATATTGCGCATGTGCATTCTTTTACGAAATAAGCTTAACTGTCCATACTACAAACGCTTGATTTTTCTCTCCGTGTACGTATTAAATTTATATCCTTTCTCTAAAAAAACAGTTCGAGAAAGTCGAAGAATGAAACTCGTAAAACTCGAAAATCTCGAATTCGAGAACACAAAGATGACATTTTTATATATTTTCAGAAAGAAAAGAAAAAACAATTTAATATTTTTTAAAGGAAAAGTACATATAATTTAATTTTTAAATAAATTGTAGCATGTTTCTTAATATATTCACCGAAAAAAATAAAATCTCAGAGTGAGAAGAAAATTCCGCTTAACAATTATTTTTACATTTTATTTTTAACCCAGCAAACACGTTACGTAACTGTTACATAACAAATAAAGCACATTGTTATGTCTCACTGAGACAATATTGTTATGTAACCACTACATAATAAGATAGTAACACTATTATATAACACTGTTACTGAATGGTGATATAATGGTTACATAATTTTTTCAAATAACTATTATATAACTGTGATATATTCATTATATCACAGAGTGATAATTTTTGTCTTGTTACATTGTTCTCTAATTGTTACATAACTGTTACGAAACTGTCAAATGACAGGTCGGATAAATGACAATTCTGTTACATGACAGGTCGGTTAAATGACAATTCTGTTATATGACAGGTCGGTTAAATGACAATTCGGTTACATGACGGGTCGGTTAAATGACAGGTCGGTTACATGACGGGTCGGTTAAATGACTGGTCGGATAAATGACAATTCTGTTACATGACGGGTCGGTCGAATGTCAATTTGGTTACATGACGGGTCGTTTAAATGACAGGTCGGTTAAATGACAATTCAGTTACATGACAAGTCGGTCAAATGACAGGTCGGTTAAATGACAATTCGGTTACATGACACGTCTGTTAAATGGCGAGTCGGTCCAATGACAATTCTGTTACATGACAGGTCGATTAAATGACAATTCTGTTACATGACGGGTCGGTTAAATGACAATTCGGTTACATGACAAGTCGGTCAAATGACAGATTGATTAAATGACAATTCGGTTACATGACGGGTCGGTCATTGTTGGCAACATCGGCTTGCTTTTGAAATTAAAACATTTTTTTTCATAAACTAAGGTAATGTTACCTTGAGTGGACCGCCTAAGCCTTTTTTCGAAAAAATTCTATATGAAAGCAAATTAATCGGAGGTTTCTATTCCAAGCTTCAGTTTAGATCCCTAGATAAGTGTTTATACCATAATAGCTTTGATTTTTTTTATTTGGAAGAAAAAATTGACTTTAAAAAAAAGCTAATTTTTAAGGAATGAAAAAAATGTGACAATTTATTGTCAATTTATATCCAAAAAATAGTAAACTGACTTTAAAAATGGAAAAAACAGGTAGTCCACTCATGGTGACATGCAACTTTTTATGGCAGCCACCACAATTTTTTATTGAGTCAAATTTATCACTTAATTAAACTAAGACAATTAAATTAAATGTTCAAAGTAGTAGGGAGAAAAATAAGTAACCTTTTAAAACTTAAATTTGATAGTATACTTTTACACTTCTGAATCACTTTACTTATTGTAAGAGCGACTTTTTTGGTTTGTGATCTTAAAAACGCGTTACATCAAACGGTAACGTATATGTTTATCGCGGAACTTAATTTCTTACGGTTTCTAAGTGCGGTGCTGGTATTCGCACTATTTATTTCACGTTTCCGCTGTCAGATAATTTAAAAGCTCCGGTGGTCCACTCAAAGTGTTAGTCCACTCAAGGTGACATTACCCTACATAAGATTATCTAGTAAAGTACACATTATTATAATTTTAAAATTTTTTTGAATGAATTGTGAGACTTGGAAAAAAAATCGTATTATTCACCAAAAAAATCGACTTTAATTATTGATAAAAAATCCTGTTCATCAATTTGAAAAATCGTGTGTACTTCACTAGATAATCTATCTAAGAAGCTACAGTTAAATTTTTAGGCCAATCGAACGAAAACTTTTCAAGTTCTACTGCACGCCAATTTACAAAACATGGTTTCGAGTAAGACGCATTTGAAGTTAAAATGTTCTATTTTGACGCTTCGGAATTGATCCAGAAAAATTAAATTTAATAACACATACAAATTGTTTTTATGCAAGGACGTTTTTGATTATCAATATAGGAATGTCACAGTATATTTTAAGCCAATAAAAAAAACATTGTTATAAAAAAATGCATTTGAAATTAAAATTTTCTATTTTTACAATTCGGAATTTTTTCAGAAAAAATAATTTTCAAGTTGTTTTCATGCAAGGACGTTATAGATTATTAATCTAGGGATGTTATAGTATAGTTTAAGCCAATAAAGAAAAAATCGAAAAATAAAAAATGCCAAACAGGTATAACCCCTAAAGCCTTTTTAAAGCGGGGTCCAATGGACCCCGCTTGCCCGCCTACGTGATTTTTTTAGCTTGCCTGCCCAAGGGTTAAAAAAATTTTGTGATCCTGTGTTATAAACGGACGATTATTCTCAACCAAAAACCATTTAAAGTCGACTAATCCAATGCATTTGTCAAAAAACATGCTCGAATTAAATAATAATCTTTCGAATATTTTTTTTTCTAAAAAAGTTAGTTGAGAAAGGAGATATCAATAAAATCAATGATTTCCTAATGGAAAACGATGACGATTTGATCGATGATTATTAGTGCATTAGATTATTTAATAAAGAGGGATTATCCAGTTGATCACATTCGAGTGCTGTTAGGTTCCTTCACTGGGGATTTGGGAATTAACATAAATGGTTATACAGCACTTCAACACATGATTTTACATTAATGATAATGTTAATTTAATTAATTTTTTAAGAATATCTTGAAAAAATATTTGACAAATGACTTCTGTGAGGTCTTATTCTTTTCAAAATTTTATCGTCTTTCAAAATATAAACCAAAAAAAAATTTAGTTTTCATGAATTTTATGTTAAAAAATTTTTTCATTCATTCAAAAATGGGTGGACTGACAATTTTGGCCGGTAC